AAATAGGGATCAGGCCTGAGGACGTGCCTAAGACTGCTTTTATAACCAAGTCTGGCACTTATGCATTTTTGCGAATGCCGTTTGGCCTTTCAGGCGCCCCCAGCAACATTTCAGCGATGCATGGACATTGTGTTAAGACCTGTTCTTGGAAAGTCCACATTTATCTATTTAGACGATATCATTATTACTAGTGATAATCTCGACCAACATGTACAGGATTTAAGACAGGTGTTTTCTTTATTAAATGAGGCCGGTCTAAAAGTTAATGTCGAAAAGTGCAAATTTGCAGCCCCTGAATTAAAATATTTAGGTTACAAAATATCGCAAAAAGGGATCGAGACAGATGAATCAAAAATAATCGCTGTACAAAAGTATCCGACTCCAAACACGGCAAAGAAGCTCTCTTCTTTTTTCTAGGACTTTGTTCATATTATAGGTCCTTTATAAAAGATTTTGCGGCTATCGCTGAGCCATTGTTAAAATTAAAAAGGAAAAAGGCAAGATTCTCGTGGACGGCCGAAGCCAATAGTGCTTTCGAAAAATTAAAACAAGCATTAACGCAAGCCCCTGTGTTGAAATTTCCTGAAAAGGATGAAATTTTAGAAATTTCAGCGGATGCTTCGGATTATGCGGTAGGAGCGGTACTTTCGCAAAATCAGCAGCCCGTGGCATTTTTTAGCCGAACTTTAAATCAAACACAAAGAAACTATTCCGCGACCGAGAGAGAGGCACTTGCAGTTCTGTTAGCAGTGCAAAAGTTCCGAGTCTATTTTGGAAAGGCGCCGATAACAGTATATTCTGATCATGCGGCGGTAACTAGATTGTACTCAGGAAAAAATTTATCCCCAAGGTTAATAAGATGGGCACTCAAGCTGCAAGAATATAATCTGGTAATCAAGCATACCCCCGGAAAGGAAAATATCGTAGCAGATGCCCTATCACGAATTAAATTAGACGAACAGGGTAATACCGTAAAAGTTGCAATGCTGACAGCGTGTACAATAAATTCCCGAGAAACTGTAATAACCGAACTGGGTAAGGATCCTGAGTTTGGAAGTATTTATGAGTATTTGAAGGATCCTGAAAATTTTAGCCACCAAGATATTGTGGCGATAAGAAATAGGGCGGCCCATTACGAACTAATAGATGGTCTATTATTTTATACAAAAACTACGAATTCCAACAACGAATTTCGACCTGTTATCCCAGCTAGTCTTAGATTAAATATCCTGCAAGAGCTCCATGACAGCCCTTTAGCTTCTCATGCTGCTGGTATTCGAAAAACTATCTCAACGCGTACGCGAGGCAGTCTACTTTCCTGAACTGCAAAAGTTAACAAGGGCGTATGTCCAGTCCTGCCCAACATGTCAAGCCGTTAATTATATTAATTTCCGCCCGGCCGGGTTTCTAAATAGTATTAAATCCGAATTTCCAAATGAAATAATCGGCATCGATTTATTGGGCCCTTTCCCAAAAAGTCAGTTAAACAAAAGTCGCTATCTCTCCTTGTTATGGTTGATCATTTTAGTAAATGGACCGAAATTGTTCCCTTAAAACGAGCCTCCGCGAAATTAGTTACCGATTCTATTTTAAATAAATATATTTTAAAATACGGGGCGCCCCTAAAAGTTATATCGGATAATGGTCCTCAATTTGTAAGTAATATATTTGAAGACATGTGCCAAAAACTGGGCATACGTCATTTAAAAATGGTCCCGTATCGGCCGCAATCAAATATAGCGGAACGGGTCAACAGAAATATAGTGAAAATTATCCGTAGTTATGTTAAAAATTTTCATAAAAGCTGGGATAACTATGTCAATGAATTTGCTTTCGCCCTTAGGACCGCAAAACATGATACAACGGGCAAAACTCCTGCTGAGTTATTTCTAGGCAGAAAGATTATAACACCGTTAGATAAATTATTTTATGTGCAACAAAGAGCCCCAGAATTTAAAATGGGTGATATAGAAAAACTAATAAAAGAAGCAAAAAAGAATACAGAAGTAGCACAGAGAAAACAGAAACTCTATTATGACTTGAAACGACGGGGAGTAACTTATAAAGTAGGGGATGAAGTTTTAAAAATTAAGCATTCACTTTCTTCAGCACCAGAAGATAAAACTGCCAAATTTTTCCCACGCTTTGAAGGACCATATGTTATAGAAAAAATAACTCACGCTGTTGTAGTATTAAAGGCAAGAAATGGTGAAACCTGTTCCGCAAACATTGACCAATAAAACCATTCTATGATCGTAATAAAATGCAAATCTTTTCAGATCTTTTGCAGGATCCGGTACGGCAGACACCGCAGGTACAAGTTCCAGAGGTGGGAAAACGACAAGTACAAGGGCAAGCCAATGAGAGACAGAAGCAAGTGAAAAGAAAATTGCCCCGCGGAAAAATTGAAGGTACAAAGAAAAAGAAGCCGTTCCACCGTCCAAAAAACAGAGTTCACGAACACCCCCAGAATGAAGAAGGGAGAAGGACGACGTATGTGGAAAGGACGGCAACTATAACCCGGCTGTGAAACGGAAGATTGACTCATCCGACAGAACTCTCCGCAGCAAAAGTCGCCGAACTGCGGAAGGGCCATCAGCGGCGGAGGAAAAAGTACAAGAAAAATTTGAACGGCCAACAACGAGGTCCAAGCAGGATCACGACAGAAGTTTCCCGGTTCCACCAAGACCAGCTGCCTTCAAACGGCCAAGACCACAAGCAGAGGACAGAAGGAAGATGTTCAAGGGTGGCCGTAGTGGTGAAAAACGGAAGCTTCCAGAGGAAAGCACTGAAGGGCGAGCCCGTACAAGAAGGAGGATCAACCAAGCTACGGTCTGCAGCACCTTTAAAGACTGGGCCCAGAAAAGGATGTCTGAATATTACAAAGATAAGTAAAATTTTATGTTACTTTACAAACTTAAGTTAATCTTTCATTCTTACTGCAAGTGGCAGATTTCAAGAAGTTTTACCTCATGCGAGGTCTACCTTTATCGCCAAAAGGGCGAGAAATGAGTTGTGACCGATTTTCTTATTATGTTTTTCAATTACTCGCGCGTAAAACTAAAGTTGATGTATAATAGCGTTGTATAAAGACTTAAATATTGTAAAAAGTTATTGTATAAATTTTATTTAAAACATTCTAACAAGAAAGAAGTTTTAGTCTGAAAGACTTTTTGAAATGTAGTATTATTTCAATGTAGAAAGAATTGGCACTTGCTTTGAAAAGAATAGAAGTTAACAATGTACTACTAATGTATGTTTTCAAATGTGTAAAATTAACGGCATCTTGATATGTTCTTGTATACATGTGAACTGTTATTTTGAATGTTTAGAAATACCGTGATATGGTAAAAGTGAAAGTAATGTTAAAAAATTTTGTTATTCGTGTGACTGTAAAGATTAAATCATGGTGAATATGTGTTAAAGGTTGAATGATGTAGTTAGGCTCTCTGACGCTACACTTTAGAGTTAGCCACTTTCAGAATAGTACCTCAGGGTCTAGAGTTGAAATTAGGGTGTGTTAAGAGGTCTCGTATGTTGAATTTTAACACGTTAGTGTTTTGATTGTAGGAGGAAGTGTTGAACACATAGACAGAAACACATTCGTGTTTGGTGTTTTTACAACACATGTCAGAGAGCACGGGGAGAGATAATTAAAATAGTCATGAATGAAATAAGAATGTTAAGAAAAGTATATTCTATATGTTATTTGCAATGTCATTCTGTAACATTTCATTAAACTAGTTTTCCTTCCAGATCTCTGGAAGGAACCAGAATTGAATAAAGCTCCTGTTTAGATGCAGTACAGATGAAAAAGAAAAAAGATTGTTGTATATTCCGGGAGCTGCTATTGTAACAAATTTCTTTCTTTTAAATTTTCTAGTTTCTAGCGAAGTTTTTGTAAAAGGTTGGCCTCGCGTTAGTTTCTAGAGCTAAAAGTTTTCAACAAGGTCGTTTTAGACCTCAGTTTCAAACTAATTAACTCTGGCGGGAAGTATGTAAGGATCTTAAGTTTTACTAACGTTTATTTTATTTTAAATCTTTACTATCACTTCTTATTTTCTACTTCCGGCCAGAATTATAAGCGTGAAGGAGTTTTATGCAAAGTTGTCTGGCGAACGCCAAGTATTTAAGTGTGGCCTTTTTGCCAAGCAAAAGAGAGGAAGCCGTGAGTTCGAAGCAGGCCGCTTACCTTAGAAGTTACGCAGTTGCTACTTTGCCTTCCAGGCCAGAGGTTTTAATCCTCTTGATAAATTAAACGTATTGTAGTGTTCACAGTCTCTGTGCTACATACGCTTCCTGTTATTATAAGGCCAATCTTATTCTAAAGTTAAATTAGAGTTTAGTTTTATTTTGATATCTTTTACGTTAGACCCCGAGTGGAGGGTCATTGTATTCCGAAGTACGGAAGTCATTGTATATAAAGAAAAAATAAAGGGTTTTGTATACCCTTCGTCTGTATCCTGTCTACTTACTACACAATTAGTGAACATAGCTTTAGTAAGCTCTCTGTTCTAGTCAGGTCATTGTATGTTTCCGAAGAAGGTTAGAAGAAACATTGAACCTGATAATTTAATTTAAATTTAAATAAAATTTTTAACTTCTTTAACGAATTACATCAAATTATCGCCTGTCCACAATAAAATTAAAAAAAGCCAGGAAATTGATAATTGCCAAAGTACGAGCCAAATTATTCGAATTTCTCCTCGGCTGTTTTTTTAATTATTCTATATGCAGAGCCTAAGGCAATTATTTCCTTTATTTGAATCCATAAGCATAATTTAATAAACATCTATGGTACTTTTAATACGTTTAGAACTTTTTCACAAAGGGATAAGTAGGTTCCAATTAATTGTGCCCAGTACCTGAGATTTTCAAGCTTTTATTCTTTCAATAAGTAAGTCATTTCTAAGTGTCCATATGCTTATAACTCCCAGAAGCCCATTTAGATATCCACTACCTTATATTATAAAGTGACGTAATAACTCCCGGTTATTTTTACCTTGCGATAGTGACTAGAGCGGGCTTGGGAAGAGAAGCGAGAAAACCTCGGCTTACTTCCACTAGATGGCGCACCTGGTCGTGAGTGGAAACGTGATGCGGCAGGTCGCAGTCATCGCACGTGCATCCAGCATCGTTGAGGAGAGTAGGGTCGGGCGGCCGTTGGTCTGGGAAAGTAGACAACAAGGCCTTCACATCTTCCAGTCTGAAAAAGAAGCAGAAGACCCATGATTCATCTTAAAATATTGGATGAAAATAGTACGAAAAATAGAAACAAATGTTTGAAATATAAAATTCGAGATTCTGCATTCAGGAATTTTAATGCCAAGATTAACGATGTTATTGCACCTACATGCATAGCCTTTTTGTGATAACACTATTACTGAAGCAAGCAAAGACTAAATCTTCTTTCATATTTTTTGTAGCCAAACTCAGTTATAAAAAATATTCACTTGAATTGATTGACATTCAAATTAAAAATCTCGACTGATTATTTTCAGATAACTACATTATTAAATTTGAAATCTTTTAAGGTAATCTTCGCGATAATTAACTTTTCAATGAGCTAAATAATTTTTAAAAATTAAATAGTTAGTTAATTAAAAATACAGAGGTTGTTCACACACTTTTTTTAAACGATTTTCATTAATTTACTGAAATATTTTACCTAAACATTTTGTGTTTTAAATGTTTTGTTTCATAACCCTTATTTTTCACTATCTTTCTGCACCGTAATTTCTAAGACAATAAAACTTATCGAAAGAGGTATTTCATCTCGTTCCTTTTGAAGAGCTTTCCGAAGTCCAAGGAGGGTTTTAGGTCGACGTTTGGGCAATTCGCTTTTTAAAAGTCCAAAATCATGAAAATCCGTTCATCAAGAGATTTAGTAAGGATATGAGTGATGGGTATGGCTTTGATGCACGTTTGCTGTTTCACTTTACCAGAAATTAACAGTGGATTTTGACGCGTGGTTACTTGCTTTGCCTTCATGCAGTTCTATTGATTGATGGCTCTGTGTGCGAACAATAGGTACTTCATATTTGAAAATTGGGTATAAAATCTATTTCTGATAATATATGGAATTGATCTTAACACTTTTCTCCACTCTCTTTAATTTTAATTTGCCGTAATATGAAAAACCATGTACAATCATATATCCTTTTGAAAAACTTTCTTTAGATTCGTTGAACCGTGTTCTAAGAATATTTTCTCCTTTTCCATAATAATAAATGCATATCTGTTTATAGCAGTTATTTAAATACAACCAAGATTCATCTAGTGTAGCGAGTTTTCCATTTTTACTCGTATCCTAGTAAATGTTTCTCATAAAGAATTCTGCAGCGAGTTCTGCATTCGGCGATATGTCGTAGAGACGCCGCATATTACGTATTTTCCCCCTTTTTAAGATTCAAATCAGCATTTACAACTTTGCTTACAGTTCACACTGAGCATTTTAATGATTTTGCAGCTATCCTTTAACTTGGCAGAGGTTTTTTAACATTAAAGATCTTACCTTTGCAACATTCGAAACATTTGGAACAATATTTCCACTTGAAGCCCAACTTTGGCATTTGTTTCCTTTTTCTTTCTTTGCCATTTGTTTCCTTTCTTTCTTTGACGTTTGCTTCCGTTTTCTTTCTTTGTCATTTGTTTCCTTTCTTTCTTTGACGTTTGTTTCCTTTTTCTTTCTTTGGCATTTGTTTTCTTTCTTTCTTTGCCTCCTGTTTCCTTTCTTGTAGAAGATGTTATCTATGGTAGCTTTAGATACCATAAAAGGTATTTCTCCCGCCTTTTTGCGTGCCTTCGTGGTTCTGCACGTTGGGCCGGTATTCCAGAGGTTCGTGGCTCGATTCCCGGCGAAGGCGTTTGCTAATTTTTCATATCTCCGGCTTCCAAAAAATCCTAATGTCTCTATAGTGGCGCCCGAACTAAAAGGGTGTGTGATGAGGATTGTCCACACCCAGGATTTAGTAATTGGGTCCCCTAAAAACACCAGTCGTCCTTTAAAAAGGGGAGTATATAAGGTTTTCTCGCGCTTTTCTAACGTGCCTTCATGGTGTAGTAGTTCTGCACGCTGGGCCGGTATTCCAGAGGTCCGTGGTTCGATTCCCGGCGAAGGCGATTGCTCACTTTTCATCTTGCATGCTTCCAAAAGAATATCTAGTGTCTCTACAACCGAAAAACCATGGCTTTCACCGTGTTTTGAATAATTAGATACTAATAATTTTCTTCGGAAAGAGCACAAACATATACTTCCATTTATCGCTTCTTTAAAAGCGCCATTTTACATAAAAACAAAACTGTCAAATAGCAAACAATAATTTATACTTTCAAAAATTTAATTGCAGTTAAAAAAAATCTTCAAGCAGAAGAATTTTTTATAGCAAAGCAAAATCGGATAAAAAATATGCGAACAGCCTGTGTATATAGCAGGCCTCATCAATATTGGATTTCTTGCGTTATCGACATAAAGTTACTCTTCTTTTCCATCCTTCTAATGCCAGCTTTCATCCACGCCCGAATTTTGAATTTCGAAATTATTATTATTATTTCATTTTTCTGCGCGAATTTAATGAATTTCTGATTAACAAACTCAGCGAGCTAAAAGCAATGTGCAACTACAACGCGAAATACTTTTATCTCCCATGCGCCAGTGTGTTGCCATTCCGCAAAACGTAAGATATTTCATTTTACTTTTAAATTTAATCAGTCTTAACCTGATTAATAAGCTAAGCGATTTAATAGTAATAAATGCAATTTTTAATAATAATAATACTTTTGCCCTTTTTAATTTGGTTGATTTAATTAAAAGTGCTTGAAAAATTCTTAGAAGTTATACGAATTCGAACAATTTTATATCTGGTTTTATGAAAGTTTTATACTTTTTAAAAAGGTTTAAACTGAAGCTTTAATTTTGACTTACCTCCTTTGAGCTGTCCAAAAGCGAGCTGCAAATTGGACTTAAACACCTTACTGCACTTTACTGACCATATTCAAATACTGGCGCATCGAACAAGTTATGTGGTGTCCATATCAGATTTTTGTATTTAGTTATTATTTTATTGTTTAGCAACTAATTTATTTTTATTTTTCACTTCTTTCAAAACACTTCGGGGGGAGAGGGGAATTCTAGATTTTCAGTTCGCGGATTTTATGTCCTGCAAAATAGAAAATATTATCCCTTAATATTTTCCCAAGTAGCAAGTGATTGAATAAATAAATGCACAGTGTCGTCAATGATTAAATCTTTCTCTCATTCAATAAATGTTCAAGTCATTAGTGGCAGTAATTTACGATAAAATTATTCAGAATTATTTTTTCCTGTTACTTGTCTATGTCATTTTGTACCGCTCATTTTAAATAGAAGATCTTTATGATCTACATTTTAATAAAAAATTAAAATTAAAATTAACTAAAAATAATTACTAGAAGATTAATACTTTAAACAGTAAGCCCATCATAACTCTTTGATTTTTACAATGATTTCAAAGGTTTAACTGTATCACATCAAGATCAGATTTTTATTCCTTTAGACCTTATGATTTTTATATTTTCTAACATTTAATGCATACATTTCAAACGTTTTAAAATTTTAATGCTAAATAGCGGGACGTTTTCAAATTGCACTTTTACTGTAAGTTTTTTTAAACCATACTTTACCATAAAATATCCATACATTTACAATCGATATCATTACTTTATACCAAGACGTTATAACTTAATGTCGATACGATTACTTTATATCGATCTGTCAAATAAATGGCAACCTAAATCTTCACAAAAGAACAGTCTAAGCATTACAAGCCCATCTGAATCGGAGGAAGATTATTTTGATATCTGATCAGACACCTAAGATTTGTTCGAAGGTATGTGGGGTGATTCATCTAATAAAAGAGGCATCACGTACTTTCTCTCATGGAGATTAAAATCGAATAAGGAAAAAAAAAAGGGGGAGGAGGGAAAAAACCGACGTAATTTATTACAATAGAGCAGAAGGGCAAAAAAATAAAAAGAAGTAGTCGATTTATTAGATCAAACGTCGCTGGTTTCTCTCCCCCCCCCTTTTTTTTTTTAGAAAAATGGTAAAATAATATAGGAAGATAAGATAAGAGCCCATTTGTGGAGCTAGTGTATTTATGAAGTGGGAATCCATTTCAACTGAACTTTCGAAGACACTTTATCTAACCACGTAGGACATGTTTATGATTTCTGAAAAATTAAATAATGACTTTAGAGCCTTTTGAAAAGGGGAACCCTCATAGTTGAGATTTGCACGGTCTTTACAACATTAGTTAATATCTGACATTTTCACATGAAGTTCACACACGGTAAATGACTTAATACATCGCAATTTAGGGTGTACAGTTGGGTAGTTATAAAATAAAACATTTCTGACACATTAGCATTTCCTAAAAACAAACTTCAAACGTTGAAGAAATCAATTAAACGAGAGTACTTAAATTTATATTATACTAGCGGAAGTACCCGATGGCAGTCCAATTAGATTGAGAATAAAGCATCTAACAGCAGAGAGAACGATACCGCTGTAATCCTTCTCTAATAATCATGCAAAAATGTACGATTCGTACTCATACATTTTTCAGACTGCTGCGATGTGGAACCCACATAAAAACTTTCGATAGAAAAATAAACTCATTTTTTCTCATTATATCAGGAACGCAGTTTTTAATGATTTTCGTCTTTCTAATCAAATTGTCGTAACAGCTCAAGTTTCATCCAGTATTTCACCTATATTCAATTTTAGTCCATTCAATGTGGCAAAAAATGGATCATAATGGATCAGAAATTAATAGCGTGAACTAACACACAAACAGTCATTCTTCTATATATAGGGAGATTTTGTAAAACTTACAAATTTTTGATTAACAAACTCTACGATTTGAAACCGAGCAGTAACAACACTCTTCCAAATAAAGCATTTTCATCTCTAGCGCGCGACACTCTTGCCACTCGGAAAAATGAATGTGAAAATTAATGTTTCGCAATTTTTAATTAACATCTCGGCTGATTAAAGTCGTACGCAGTCGAAACGGCTTCCCGTCAATTTTTGGAATCGGGAGTAATGTATTTAATCTTTGGAAATGCTATTTGTATTTTATTGTAAATCTTAGAAATTTTCTATTAAGAAACTCTATGATTTGAAAGACAGAAGTGGCAACAACTTTCGAAATAAAGCAGATTTTC